CAGACAAGTGTGAATGATCTTTTTGTGGTCAGCAGCTGTAATTAATGGGATGGGGAGAGAGTGAGTGTCGGAATGAGAGGGCAGTGATACCAAAGATGTTAAGGCCATTTAACGTGGGTGGCCAGAAGTAGAATTGTCTGTTTTGTTCCTGTTTTGAGGAAAAGGAGATCTTTGTGTTTCAAACAAGCCTTTGCTATAGCTTTTGTGTGTTCCTCAGCTTAAAATGAAGGAAAAGGGCTGTGGATTAGAAAGGGTCCCCGGAGCCAAAAGAAAAAAAGTTTAAGGAACACATTTGGGTCTACACCCTCAGGTTGCTCATTTCTGCCCTGAAACTAAAGCTTCCCAAAGTGACCAGGGGAAATATTTGCCTTAGCATGTTAGCTTGATTCTACAGCAGTGTTTCTCAAACTTGGCAGCTTGGACTTCAACTCCCAGAATTCCCCAGCCAGCATGGCTGGCTGGGGAATTCTGGGAGTTGAAGTCCATAAAGCTTAAAGCTACCAAGGTTGAGAAACGCTACTCTACAGGGATGTTTTTTGAGCGCTGTGCTATGCTGAGAGTCCTCCGGGGGCGATACAGCACCTTGGGGTATCGGATCTAGCCTCCCCCCTACTTGTGCCTTCTGCTGGTACTGCCTGGAGCTGAGAGCAAGGAAGGGGAGCATAGGAAGATTGGGGTGTCTTGTTCCAGGCTCCTGAGTAGCATCTTCTCCATCTATTTTATGGGCACATGGTCTCCGGCTGTGCAACGTGCATGATCCAAGTCCCCATGTCTCCTCCCCATTCTGTTGGTGGTGCTGAACCATCATGGCCTGTTTGCCGTTTATAGCACACCAGCCTTTCAGTTCCTGTGCAGTCCTGCTCCCAACCACATCCTCCCTCAAGATCCCTGTCTCATGTGCGGACAGGGCAGGAGGCTGCTCAGTGCTACACAAAGGTCAACCCCAGGAAGTGAGGGCCAACAGCATGAACGTGTTGCCAGCACAGAGTGTTATGACTGCAATGATCATGGGAGAAAGGGGGGGGGGGAGTCAGTTCATTCTTCCTTCCTCTCCCAGTTCCAGTGAATGCAACATCACCCTGTGTTATTCTTGCTTCTGCAACTAACTTGCGTGGCCTTCCGTTGGCTGTCCAGGAACTTTCTCTGCGGTCTTGCTTGGTTCTCCATTCCAACAGTCCTACAGAAGGTTGGAAAGAAAGTCTGTGTAGGGTGCAGGACTTTTTCAGTCTGTCTGTCTGTCTGTAGGTCTGTGCTCAGCAGGATAGTGCTTCAAAGTCAGAACAGACAGGGTCAAATTTAGTCTGGCAGGAGAAAGATGGATGGTGATGATGATAATAATAATAATAATAATAATTTATTATTAAACTTGTATGTTGCCCAACTCCCAGCAATTATGAATGGCCCAGATCTGGCCAGGGGCTGCAGAGAAAGAAAATCCCACTGCATCCCTGTTGGGGGGCAGCTCAGAACGTTGCTAGGGACTCCGTTCTTAAGGCCCCTGTCTTCCTCCTTCTGGGCCTTGTGACTCAAAGGCAACTTATCCCGTGCCTCTCCGTGCGCACAAACACAACACAATGGAGAACCGAAATTCACACTGAGACAATGCTTCTGAACCTACCTTTACCAGATCCTCACACCAAAGCACATGCTAACAGAGACAATACATGTACTAGCCCCCAGCAGGCAACATGTATGCGCATACCTTGAATTCTCCCGGGGGGGGGAAATGCATGTGTATGCAGACACATGTGTATTCCTGACTCGTTTGTCACGCAGAAGAAAATACAGATGCCTTCAGGGGCCAGGCTCGAAAAAAGGTTGGAAAGAAAGCCATGCGCTGTCTGTTTTCCCACACACACCTTATGTGTTGCATCATCATCTGTCATAAAACAATCAAGTGCACCTTCTAGAGGACTTGTGATCTAGCAAATCTTGCTTAACTACAACTCTCTGAGGCCCTAGTTGGCATGGCCAATGATGGGGGGAGGGGGGAATGAAAGATATTGGTGGGGCTCAAAAAAATTCAACTATCATGGCCTGGCATCTGTTCTATGCAATAAGACCCAGCTATTTTTTTGATTCCATGTACCTCCATATTTGGGGTGGGGGTGGGGGTTGCAATTAGGAGTTACTCTATTGGTGGTAAAGGTTTCACTGCCACAAGACATTAAAGTATAAGGGAGTGTTTCTCAACCTCGGCAGCTTGAAGATGCGTGGACTTCAACTCCCAGAATTCCCCAGCCTTGCTGGCTGGGGAATTCTGGGATTTGAAGTCCACACATCTTCAAGTTGCTGAGGTTGAGAAACATTAGTATAAGGATACTTCAGGTCTCTCTGGGGTGGAAATAATTAGGTAGAATACCCTTTTCCAAGTTAGCATCTTTGCATTCTTGTTAAGAGTAAGGGAATATTTCTGAAATAACTGGGTTTTTGTTTCTCAGTCCAGAAATAAAACAAGGAATAAATAGAGGACATCAGCAACGTAATTCCAGGAGACTCCTGGGGACTAATGCCAAAAACGACTTGTATGTGGCCAGTTTGCTAGAATTTTAGGGGTTAGAAGTGGATTTCTTTAGTACTTCAACCTTGCTGGCCATCCCCTTCTCTAAAACTCTCAAGACTGTTTCCTTTTTCACTCTTACGGTATACGTAACAGTGAGTACAGCGAGGGGGTCGGCAACTTGTGGCCATGTGGCTCATGTGGTCCTTGGCTATCAGAAAGGCAGGCAATTTCAATCTTTTGGCAAGTTTGATCCGCTGGGTTGTCCGAATGAAAAAGATGATAAACCAGTGGCAGAAAAAGATGAGAAAGGTGCAGGCCCACCCTACACACGGCCTCACCCATTCCTGCTAGACTGTTTCTGGTGCCTTCCCTGAGAGAGAATGTGAGCCTTAAGTCAGAAAAGCTTCCCTGTTCTTGACCAAGAATCTTTGTGCATACCCAAAGAGATGTTCCAGCATCAACCTCATTTTCACATCTGCTGATCCTCCCAGGCCTCCAGAGCTCCTGGTGATGAGGTGTTGCGGGTCCTCTGCTCCTAACCAACCCTCTAGATTGGCTGCATTAGATGTCGCCCCGTATTGCCATCCAAAGGCATTTCTGGAATCGATTCAGTAGGAATAGCTTGCTCTGAACCAAAAATGGGTGCCTTCCTTCTCTCCCAGCATTGCTTTACAGCAGCAGCAGCAACGGGGTTAACCGATGCGATTGATTGGCTAGGAGCTATAGCACTTGTCCCAGAACTTGGTATTTGGTGGCAGTGTTCACACAGCACCCTTCCCCAGGTTAGCTGTAGACCTAGCGGTTACATTCGCACCCGATCCCAAGCTCAGTGATCTTAACTTTGCTTATTTGGGCGGGACCTAGCAAGTTGTTTCAACCATGGCCATGTGGTTAGTCCACAGCTCAGTGGATTCTGCAAACCCAGGAAACTGATTAAGTCAGTGATCAACCTTGCAAAAAAAAAAAAAATTAAAATGAAAGTCTGAATTCTGATTCATAGGCATGATTTATCCCGGGTAGCTCAGTCGCCATCAATATAAATGTGAAGTTAGATTTTTCCCCCCACCTGCCTCCCACACATTGCTTTACACTTAGACGGAAAGGCATTTCACATTTTCCTGCATGGTCCTCCACTTTACAGAGACCCTGCTGAGTTCCTTGCAATGCCTTCTTTTTTAAAAACCACCCTTCATAATGTGAGGTCATCACCATCTTGAGGACTTCCTTGCTCAGAGGTAACTCTAATCCCAGATAAATGCATTCAGAACATTGGGACTGTTTGGTCACTGGGGAGTTGAAATTTTTTGGCACCATGCAGTTCGTAGTCTGATTCACCTGGGACATTTCCAGTGATTATAACTCTCACGATTTCTTGGCAGTTTTCAGATTTCGACACCCACTTGGGTGGACATGCCCAGGACATACCATAATTATGTCAGGCTTGGGGGTTGCAGAAAGCACAGGCAAGCAGGAAGGGTGTGTATGTGAATGACAGTTAGTGCTCACTTCTCTAAACAAATATAGAAGCATAACAGAAACATAAATCGTGTTTATATTATACGTTATAATTATAATACGATAACTTCTACAAATAAATTGGAAATATTTAAATAATTTTTATGCCGCTTCTCGTTACAGCAAATCACAAAGCCCTTTATAGTAGCCCAAACATTATTCCAGAAGCAAACAGCAAAGTCCATCTAAAAAAGGAAATAAAAGCAGAGCATAGTGAAACAAGATTAAAAAAAAAAAAAACAAGCATGAACAAGATGAAGCCAGGATACGTACAAGGTGAAAGCGAAATAAAACAGGAGAAAATGATTTCTTTAAACAATTACTGTTGGAGGAGTTTATTTCTTTCTTTCTTGGTCACATTTGTATAGCTGCCCAGCTCACGTGGTGACTGGGCAGTGTACATAATAAAACAAGATACCCCAAAACCATGAAAAACAACCAGTTTAAATTAATGAGAGAGAAAAATCAAAGAGAAAACGGCCGAAAAGCATACAAAAGCGTACATTCAATTAACTATCAGATCGCTATCTAGCAGGCCCCACTCTGTCATGGGAACCCCAAGCTATTTGGCAGAACCATGTTTTAAGGGCCTTCCAGAAGGTCATGGAAGGCTGGGGAAGATGTATATAAAAAGGTTTCTTAGGTTTCTAAGAAATGCTTTCAGAATGCCAGTTTTGAAGGCTGGCAGAAGGTTGCTCCGGGACCAGCAGATCCAGGTTTTTACAGAAATTGCTGGGTGATTTGGAGCCAATTCCTTTTCTTGCAACCACATTGATTTGCTGTTGTGAAAACAACATAAGGGGCGATGCCACGTGTATTGCCATAAGCTCCTTTGATCAGGAATGGGCAACCTCCGGCTGGGGGCCACACTTTGTATTTTGGGGACAGGGCCACAAAGGAAGAAAAACTCACCCCTACGTGGGAAATGTTGAGAGAACTTTGTCTTTTTAAAAGTAGTGTGTTTATTTTCATTTAGTTTTTGTCTTTATTGAGTTTAGTTTAGTTTTTATTTATTTCCCACCCAAAAGGGTGGGAAACTGTGGCTTTGGTTTTTAGCAATCCGGATCGGAAGGGGTTCTAAAACTGTTCCCATCTCGTCCAAAGTTGTATAACGCCATCGGTGGAATGGGTGATGGAGAGGCTTGCCAAGCGTGTCGGAGGAAATTAGGAGCAATGGGCAGTGCCAATTTCATTCAGATGGCCCAGTCCTGTTGGCCCTACCAGTGGGGTTCAGATATAGCTGTTACTGCTTGAGTTGGAGAACCCAGGAACAGAAATGCCATTCACAGAACCGAGCAATGCAATGAAGGAGGCTGGCAGGATGTACCTTTCTGGAGCAAAACTGTTTTGCGGCATCAGAAACTTGGTGCCTTTTCCTATCCACGCCTTGGGAGCATAGGACCCCAACAAATTTTGGGGGAGGAGCATAGGGAGGTGGGCTTGGCCAAACTGATGTTCCCTGGAAAAGCTGGAGGGCAGTCGGGTGAGCAGTGATCCTTCAAAACACTGGTTTGTGTGCAATATTCTCCCCCCCCAAAGCAGCTGTTCAGTGTAAAATAACCACCTGTTGCAAGCATTTGTCTGGAGAGGACGGGAACGAGGGAAGCAAGAGCTAAACTAAGCGGGTGATGTACACACAGCCAAAAAGAAGAGCAGGTGGTCTTCAGCCTACAGCCACAATTTGCTTCTCCTCCTTTCTCTCTTTCTTCTCTGCCCTCTGCACAAATATTCGTCTTTCATGCCTTTTCCTCCGCTCTCTTTTTTCCTCGCTCTCGTTTGCACCAGGACGCAAGGCAGATCCCCGGGTGGCCGGTAAGTTCCCTGCTAGATTGGGGGTCGGGGCGGGGGGGAGGCTGCGTGCATGAGTATGATGGAGAAAGTGGGGATGTTCTTACTCCCCACACCTGAAAGATCGTGTCCTAGAGAAAGGCTGGCCTTGCATGGGTTTGAAGGATGAAGCCCCACTCCAGGAGGGTGGGGGGGCATCTTAACCGACCGCTTTCCATCACGCCTGGCCCTGAGGTTTAAGTTGTAAGCTTACTGTGCTGTCTAAATGGAAGTCTTCCAGTCTGGATTCACAGAAGCTGGAATCGTTTCACCTCTGACAAGCCTAGGTTTCAAGCCTGGATTTCTTTAAATCCAGATTAGTCTGCTTTTGGAGACAGGCATGTCAGAAGGGAAGATAGCAGTGCTGTTTGGAGGGAGGAGGATGAGATGCCAAGCTGGTAGACCAGTGTTTCTCAACCTTAGCAACTTTAAGATATGAGGACTTCAACT